TCTCTTCTCTGGTTGGCTTTCTGCCCTTCTCCATGTAGTGTATGACTCTGGCGATATTATGATCACTTCTCTGGGCTGAAATGATGTCTTTTTTCGATAGTCTAGGCAAGTCATTGGTTGGTCCTGGCATGTGACTCTCGGTCGTGACTTCACATCTAGCTACTGGAGGCTGTACAAAGAGATTTGGTTCTAGTGGGTGACTGTTGCAGATGGCTTGCACGATGTGAGGTGGGATGGTGATGGCGTCCTTCTGGAATGTCAGGAGAGTCCTCGAGGTATCAGAATGTGGTTTGCGAGATAGCGCATCGGCTGCTTCGTTGCTCTTGCCTGGTTTGTACTTCACGGTGAAGTTGAACTGGGATAACGCAGCAATCCATCTTTGGCCTGTTGCATCTAGCTTGGCAGAGGTGGTGACATACAGGAGAGGATTGTTATCAGTCAGCACTGTAAATTGGTTGCCCAGTAGGTAATCTCGAAACTTGTCAGTAATTGCCCACTTCATCGCTAAGAATTCTAGCTTGTGCGCTGGGTAGCGAGATTCGGCGGGGCAGAGAACTCTACTGGCGTATGCGATGACTCGTTCCGTTCCTTCCTGTACTTGGCTTAGAACAGCTCCGAGCCCGACTCCTGACGCATCAGTCTGCAGGATGAATGGGAGTGAGTAGTTGGCGTAGGCGAGGATCGGTGGAGATGTCAACTGTTGTTTCAATTGATCCATGGCCATCTGACAATCATCCGTCCAAATGAATGGTGGGGTTACAGATGTAGAGGTTTTTCTGATCTTCCTCTTCTTCCGTCTTGGGTCACCGGATGTGAGTTTGTAGAGAGGTGAGGCAATGTGCGAATACCCTTTAATGAAGCGCCTATAGTAGCCGGTGAAGCCGAGAAATCGTTGTAATTCTTTGCGGCTAGTGGGGGTTGGCCAGTGTTGTACTTGCACAGTTTTGTCTGGATCACTACAGATACCTTTGCCCGAAACAATGTGACCAAGATACTTTACTTCTTCTTGGAGAAGGTTACACTTAGACGGCTTGAGTTTTAGGCCATGTTGTCTCAGGCATGAGAATACTTTGGCGAGACGGTCAAGATGTTCTTCGAAGTTGGTAGAGAAAATGATTATGTCGTCGAGATACAGCAGACATGTGACATAGTTTTGCTCTCCTAGACAAGTCATCATAAGGCGTTGGAACGTAGCCGGAGCATTGGCTAACCCGAAAGGCATCCGGTTACATTCATATAAGCCCATGGGAGTAGTGAAGGCTGTCTTGGGTATGTCTTTTTCTTCCATTTGGACTTGCCAGTAGCCTGATGTAAGGTCTAATGTGGTGAAGAGTTGGGCGTTTCCAAGGGCATCCAGAGCTTCGTCAATGCGTGGGAGTGGATAAGCATCCCGTACAGTTTTGCTGTTCAGACGACGGTAGTCGATGCATATTCGCAATGAGCCATCTTTCTTATGTGCAATCACGATCGGCGAGGCAAAGGGACTGCTACTTCTACGAATTACGTCTGTTTCCTCCATGGCCTTGAGGTGATCCTTGACAGCTTGGTATTGCGAAGGTGGGACTCGGCGATGAGGAAGTCGAAATGGTTGATTATCTATGAGTGGAATGCTGTGCTTAATCGTTGATGTACATCCGAAGTCAAGTGAACTAGATGAGAATACATCAGAGTATTCTTGAACAAGATTTTCCAGCTGTTTCTTCTGTGACTCGCTGTCAAATTTCGCAGTGGAGAGGTCTACCGGAGGCGTAAATCTTACATCTGATGGATCATCATGGACTTGACTCTGATCTGTCGGAGTTGTGCATTCATGGTCTCTATCTTTCCGTCTAGATTGTGACCTATCTTGATTTTGATGGCGTGGTAGATCATCAATGCGCAAGATGGACGATAACTGTGCCAGTTTACAATTGTGTCTGATGGTTATGGGTTTTGCAGAAATGTTGCACAGTCTCACAGGTACTTGGCAGTTAGGTCCAACATCTGTGACTAGGTTGCTGACTTTCAAGCATGAAGAGCTTTGAGGAAAATTCTCGACGACTGCGGTGTAAGGAAGGCCTTGACCACGGGGTGCTTGACAAATGATGTCTTCTTCTTGGCCTGGTGATATCACTCGGGGATTTCGCCCGATGTACTTCGCGTAGCCGATAGTACCATCATGGTGGTTACCAGGTTCCGAAGCGGTGAGGCTGCTGAATGCTGCATGCCATGCAGAGCTCTTCGTCTGAAGATGTCGCGTGAATTGGTTACTCTTTGCTATTTGCTGATCCCTCTTGACAGCTCTGATCACATTGGTACCAATGAGGACTGGAACATCTCTGCGGTAACTATATGTTGGTACCACGAATGCAGGGACATCTTCATAAACAACGTCCATTATATCAAGGGTAACTGGTACGATGCCTAAGTGAGGTACACTATGCCCACTCGCACTCTCGATGGAAACTTCTGTAGGAGAGGGTTCTCTGTTCTGGAGCTCAGGATGTCGCTTCCAAAGGTCTTCTGTTATTGAAGTGATCTGCGAACCAGAATCTATCAAGGCAGTATAATTGACGCCATTTATCTTGACTACATCTTCATTGTTAGGACCAATTAATTGTTGATGGTGAGGCTTGCTATCATGTTGGAATATTGTTGATTGTCGAGATGCGCTGTTTGAATTAGACTTCATTGGGCTTGTTGGTTGTTGGCCTCTGACGGCTTGCCCATCGGCCGCGGGCCCTTGGGGTTTAAAGGAACACTTCTACATCCTTTGGCAATGTGCCCCTCGTTACCACATCTATGACAGATGAAAACCCGTTGGCCAGCAGGCTGTTGGTCTTCCTTCGGGTGCTGATATCGCCGTGGTCTTGTAGAGATCTGCTCAACCTTCTGTGCTAATTGATGTACAGTAAGTAGCAGGTCTTGCAAAACGTCGTGATCGGTACTGGACTTGGGCTTATTGTCCACCAGTTGGTTTCGTTGATGGTCAGTCGCATCTGGCGTGCTTGACGAAGATCGCTGATGGTACTGAGGGCGAATCTGCTGGGATTGCTGGGACTGGATCTTGGCTTCTGTCTTCACAGCTGCAGCAATTCGAGATTCTCGTTCCAATTGACGAAGCTCAACTTGAAGTTCTCTAAATGTCATCTCCCTTGGTCTCATTGGTGCCAGTCTCTGCGTGACTTTTTCATCTTTGACGCCTCTCATGAATTGTTGCGTGAGCATGCTGTTTCTGTTTGGAAATGGGCGTCTAAGACTTCATCTCTCTTCGATGATCCTCAATGTTGCTTCAAGCTCGACGGCGTATATGCTCGGTACCTCGTTGGGAAGTCTCACACGCTCGTAGAAGTTGGCCAATGGATCACCAGTTAGAAATACATCTCCAAATTGTGCCTTGAGTTCTACGAAAGCGTGGCTAGGGGTCTGATGTGTCGGAGGTAGATTGAGGACCAGTTTTCTGGCGGCTCCGCCGAGATATCTGACGATGGTGGAAAACTGGAGTTCTGTAGGCATAGACGTGGTCTCGATGAGGTACGTCACGTCTCGTACCCAATCATCAACGGCAATGGTTGCACCTTGGTCGCGCCCAGTGAAGATCGGTACAGTTTTCACCTGATGCGATGGAAGAAGACGATGCTGAGATGTAGGCATTGGAGACGAACGGTCAGGTCTGTGTTGATCCTGTGGTGTAAGCACTGGATAACCAGTTGAAGTAGAACCTCGTCTCAATATGGGGGTAGGCCTTATGGGGGTTGAACGCTGTATATGTGAATCTTGTACTGGTTGTCGGGGTGTGCTGCGAGATAGTCGTCTCTCGATGTCTTCCAGTTGCGTTAGCATTTGGTCTGTGGTGAGCTGGATGTTACGCAGATCTTCTTGAAAGGGAAATGCCTGTTGAGGTATGCGTCTTTCCTTGGGTCTGGTGTCTTGAGGGAGGTTGAGTCGAGGTCGACGAGACGACATTTGACCAATTGGTGCGGTGGTTGATGGGAAGATTTCGTCGTCGGACAAATGCATTCTAGAGGCTGCCATTTTGCTTTGAAGGAGACAATCTGAACTTGCGAGAAAACAGTCCAAAGGGGAGATATACAAGGGGAAAATGTGCACGAGAAAAAATGCACAAATAACACCAGCAATTGTCATCATATGAAAAATTTCACGAATGCAAATCAAATGAGATGAATCAGAGAAAAGGAATTGAGGATCAGATAAGGAAACGGATTCAAGGGTGAAAATAGCGAAATGATAATCAAAATACTCAATCAATCAGAAGGTAATCACAATACAGCAATTATGTAACTCAATCACTGTAACAAATGCACAAATATATCAGAAAATGAAAAACAAATAGTTAAAGCAATTCGAGATAACACAATAAACGATACTCAAATACAATACACCAGAACCAGCTTACACAAGCAAATGAAAATGAAGTCGAATGAAACAGTAAATTTCTCAGCAATGCAAATAGAATACACACAAAAAGAAATTCGATTACCAACTCAACTGAAAATTCGGAAGGTAAAATCAATTCACAAACGATCAAACTGTCAGACACAAACTAAATGTGTGTGCGCTGCCTTGTTTTGCACCAAGATTATGTCAATAAAGGCAAAAGAACAGTGAGCATCTGCTACCAAGTGTTGGCGCTGAAGTACTTAATCCAATTTGTACACTAGCTAGACAAGGATGCAAAGCAAGATCAATGATTGTCAACGACTTACTTAATGAAAGGGCTTTCTATCAAATCGGAATTCACAATACAACGGGGGTTTAAGAACCAGGTGAGTATTTGGATTAAATCGTAGTCTTTTATAACAACGGTTACTAGGGTAACTTACACAGCGTCGTTAATCAGCCCAATGTAGTCTTGATCGTTGTGAAGTACTATGGATCAACGGTGGTGCACGGTGCGTGTCTTTGCGATCGTATCTATGTTCAAACAGTGGGAGTCCGTGGGAAAACAAACTAGAATGTTTGAATCTTGGAAATATACATCGGACTCCGAACATCAGCGATTTCAGAAAGTTCGCGGTAAATAGTTCTTGACTTGTGAATGTCAGCGTCGGCCAGTAGTTCCAACAGTTCTGCTAGTGGATGGACGAACTTTTCCGTTAGATGGGCGCTCCAGGCGGGGTGACAGTATTCGGTAGACGGGTCAGCTCGCTGACGTTTCCGGTAGGCTGGCGCTCAAGGCTCGCTGACGGTATGGGGATGGCTTGGCAAGGTCCTTCACGTCCTGGAATACGGGAAACACAGCGGTCCGTTGCAACTGATGATGGTGTTGGTTGGTGTTACCGGACGGTGAGGAACACGGGCTCGTCTTCACGTCTTGAGTCGGGGACGGGTTGGCCTGGAACAGGGCTCTGCAGCTACCCTGTCTGCGGTGCTACCCGCACCCCGGCTGATGCTGCCGTCACACTCCTTGGGGCGAGATCCTCTTCCCGGTCGTCTACAGGATAGATGTCTTGGCCGTCGACAAGGTACAGGATTGTCGGGTGATCGTTGCCTGCCGTTGGTAAGCCCGTACCCGGATCTTCCACCAAATGTGACCCTTCTAAATAATACGGGCTGAACGGCTGATTCTCAGTTTGTGCTGGTTTATTTCTGTTGAGGAACGAAGACAACGTGTTACTTGGTCTTCGACCGAAAACAGAATCAAATATACAAAATACAAAAGAATGACTCTACAAAATACTTATGAAATAATCTAGATACTAAATACCAAAACGGATTCATCAATATTTACTCAAGAACCCGCGGTTTGCGCCTAAATTCGGGCAGCGTCCGCCATATTGAATTTTAATGTGAAAACCCAATAAATACAAGATAATTAATCCAATCTTATATAATAATGAAGAAATGAACTGCTGAATTCCTTCTACAATATCGAAATATCTATCACTCTTACGATAAGATAATTAAATGAATTCTTGAATACATGAAAAATCACAAGTCAATCAATATCCTGAAATAATCGAATATGCTTCCAAAATCAACTAAAATGACCTAAGAGCAATCTAAATCTACTCAAGGATAGTACCTGTTAACTGTGAATTAATATAAGTTATTATTATGAGAAAGATTGAGGTAAAATGTAAAAAGATCATTACCTGTTGAGGAACGAAGACAACGTGTTACTTGGTCTTCGACCGAAAACAGAATAACGAAATGTGGAAAGCGCGCGAACTGGTTTACAAAACCAAGAGGGCGCTCGCTAATTTAAATAACAGAAAACGATTACGTAATGTAAAAATAAATAGAGGGGGGTTTGCATCGCAACCGTCACATATAGTTTGAGCAGAACTTCCCAGGTTAAGGTACCGTTAGACCGCGATATACGAAGTTCGTGTCGCGGGCGCTTGCAGGCATGGCAGTTAGACTGACTGCACATAGGGGTACTATACTGGGCTTGATGCGCTACATCTTGAATTTTCTCCGCAAGTACTGGGTTTCAAGTCCTGTCCTTTTGCCAGCTTGTTGGCCTGATCACAAGCTTCCGAACAAGGTATAGTTTGTGCAGAACTTCCTAGGTTAAGGTACCGTTAGACCGCGATATACGAAGTTTGTGTCGCGGGCGCTTGCAGGCATGGCTGTTAGACTGACTGCACATAGGGGTTCTACTGGCATTGATGCGCTATATCTTAAATTTTCTCCGCAAGTACTGTGTTTCAAGACCTGTCCTTTTGCAAGCTTGTTGGCCTGATCACAAGCTTCCGAACAAGGTATAGTTTGAGTAGAACTTCCCAGGTTAAGGTACCGTTAGACCGCGATATACGAAGTTCGTGTCGCGGGCGCTTGCAGGCATGGCTGTTAGACTGACTGCACATAGGGGTACTACTGGCATTGATGCGCTATATCTTAAATTTTCTCCGCAAGTACTGGGTTTCAAGACCTGTCTTTTTGCCAGCTTGTTGGCCTGATCACAAGCTCCCGAACAAGGTATAGTTTGTGCAGTACTTCCCAGGTTAAGGTACCGTTAGACCGCAATATACGAAGTTCGTGTCGCGGGCGCTTGCAGGTATGGCTGTTAGACTGACTGCACATAGGGGTACTACTGGCATTGATGCGCTATATCTTAAATTTTCTCCGCAAGTACTCGGTTTCAAGACTTGTCCTTTTGCCAGCTTGTTGGCCTGATCACAAGCTTCCGAACAAGGTATAGTTTGAGCAGAACTTCCCAGGTTAAGGTACCGTTAGACTGCGATATACGAAGTTCGTGTCGCGTGCGCTTGCAGGCATGGCTGTTAGACTGACTGCACATAGGGGTTCTACTGGCATTGATGCGCTATATCTTAAATTTTCTCCGCAAGTACTGTGTTTCAAGACCTGTCCTTTTGCGAGCTTGTTGGCCTGATCACAAGCTTCCGAACAAGGTATAGTTTGAGCAGAACTTCCCAGGTTAAGGTACCGTTAGACCGCTATATACGAAGTTCGTGTCGCGGGCGCTTGCAGGCACGGCTGTTAGACTGACTGCACATAGGGGTACTATACTGGCATGGATGCGCTACATCTTGAATTTTCTCCGCAAGTACTCGGTTTCAAGACTTGTCCTTTTGCAAGCTTGTTGGCCTGATCACAAGCTTCCGAACAAGGTATAGTTTGAGCAGAACTTCCGAGGTTAAGGTACCGTTAGACCGCGATATACGAAGTTCGTGTCGCGGGCGCTTGCAGGCATGGCTGTTAGACTGACTGCACATAGGGGTACTACTGGCATTGATGCGCTATATCTTAAATTTTCTCCGCAAGTACTCGGTTTCAAGACTTGTCCTTTTGCCAGCTTGTTGGCCTGATCACAAGCTTCCGAACAAGGTATAGTTTGTGCAGAACTTCCCAGGTTAAGGTACCGTTAGACCGCGATATACGAAGTTCGTGTCGCGGGCGCTTGCAGGCATGGCAGTTAGACTGACTGCACATAGGGGTTCTACTGGCATTGATGGGCTATATCTTGTATTTTCTCCGCAAGTACTGGGTTTCAAGACCTGTCCTTTTGCCAGCTTGTTGGCCTGATCACAAGCTTCCGAACAAGGTATAGTTTGTGAAGAACTTCCCAGGTTAAGGTACCGTTAGGCCGCGATATACGAAGTTCGTGTCGCGGGCGCTTGCAGGCATGGCTGTTAGACTGACTGCACATAGGGGTACTATACTGGCATGGATGCGCTACATCTTGAATTTTCTCCGCAAGTACTCGGTTTCAAGACTTGTCCTTTTGCAAGCTCGTTGGCCTGATCACAAGCTTCCGAACAAGGTATAGTTTGAGCAGAACTTCCCAGGTTAAGGTACCGTTAGACCGCGATATACGAAGTTCGTGTCGCGGGCGCTTGCAGGCATGGCTGTTAGACTGACTGCACATAGGGGTACTACTGGCATTGATGCGCTATATCTTAAATTTTCTCCGCAAGTACTCGGTTTCAAGACTTGTCCTTTTGCCAGCTTGTTGGCCTGATCACAAGCTTCCGAACAAGGTATAGTTTGAGCAGAACTTCCCAGGTTAAGGTACCGTTAGACTGCGATATACGAAGTTCGTGTCGCGTGCGCTTGCAGGCATGGCTGTTAGACTGACTGCACATAGGGGTTCTACTGGCATTGATGCGCTATATCTTAAATTTTCTCCGCAAGTACTGTGTTTCAAGACCTGTCCTTTTGCGAGCTTGTTGGCCTGATCACAAGCTTCCGAACAAGGTATAGTTTGAGCAGAACTTCCCAGGTTAAGGTACCGTTAGACCGCGATATACGAAGTTCGTGTCGCGGGCGCTTGCAGGCACGGCTGTTAGACTGACTGCACATAGGGGTACTATACTGGCATGGATGCGCTACATCTTGAATTTTCTCCGCAAGTACTCGGTTTCAAGACTTGTCCTTTTGCAAGCTTGTTGGCCTGATCACAAGCTTCCGAACAAGGTATAGTTTGAGCAGAACTTCCCAGGTTAAGGTACCGTTAGACCGCGATATACGAAGTTCGTGTCGCGGGCGCTTGCAGGCATGGCTGTTAGACTGACTGCACATAGGGGTACTACTGGCATTGATGCGCTATATCTTAAATTTTCTCCGCAAGTACTCGGTTTCAAGACTTGTCCTTTTGCCAGCTTGTTGGCCTGATCACAAGCTTCCGAACAAGGTATAGTTTGTGCAGAACTTCCCAGGTTAAGGTACCGTTAGACCGCGATATACGAAGTTCGTGTCGCGGGCGCTTGCAGGCATGGCTGTTAGACTGACTGCACATAGGGGTTCTACTGGCATTGATGCGCTATATCTTGTATTTTCTCCGCAAGTACTGGGTTTCAAGACCTGTCCTTTTGCCAGCTTGTTGGCCTGATCACAAGCTTCCGAACAAGGTATAGTTTGTGAAGAACTTCCCAGGTTAAGGTACCGTTAGGCCGCGATATACGAAGTTCGTGTCGCGGGCGCTTGCAGGCATGGCTGTTAGACTGACTGCACATAGGGGTTCTACTGGCATTGATGCGCTATATCTTGAATTTTCTCCGCAAGTACTGGGTTTCAAGACCTGTCCTTTTGCAAGCTTGTTGGCCTGATCACAAGCTTCCGAACAAGGTATAGTTTGAGCAGAACTTCCCAGGTTAGGGTACCGTTAGACCGCGATATACGAAGTTCGTGTCGCGTGCGCTTGCAGGCATGGCTGTTAGACTGACTGCACATAGGGTTCTACTGGCATTGATGCGCTATATCTTAAATTTTCTCCGCAAGTACTGGGTTTCAAGACCTGTCCTTTTGCCAGCTTGTTGGCCTGATCACAAGCTTCCGAACAAGGTATAGTTTGTGCAGAACTTCCCAGGTTAAGGTACCGTTAGGACCGCGATATACGAAGTTCGTGTCGCGGGCGCTTGCAGGCATGGCTGTTAGACTGACTGCACATAGGGGTACTATACTGGCATTGATGCGCTATATCTTAAATTTTCTCCGCAAGTACTGGGTTTCAAGACCTGTCCTTTTGCAAGCTTGTTGGCCTGATCACAAGCTTCCGAACAAGGTATAGTTTGTGCAGAACTTCCCAGGTTAAGGTACCGTTAGGCCGCGATATACGAAGTTCGTGTCGCGGGCGCTTGCAGGCATGGCTGTTAGACTGACTGCACATAGGGGTACTATACTGGCATTGATGCGCTATATCTTAGATTTTCTCCGCAAGTACTGGGTTTCAAGACCTGTCCTTTTGCCAGCTTGTTGGCCTGATCACAAGCTTCCGAACAAGGTATAGTTTGTGCAGAACTTCCCAGGTTAAGGTACCGTTAGGCCGCGATATACGAAGTTCGTGTCGCGGGCGCTTGCAGGCATGGCTGTTAGACTGACTGCACATAGCGGTACTATACTGGCATTGATGCGCTACATCTTAGATTTTCTCCGCAAGTACTGGGTTTCAAGACCTGTCTTTTGCCAGCTTGTTGGCCTGATCACAAGCTTCCGAACAAGGTATAGTTTGTGCAGAACTTCTCAGGTTAAGATACCGTTAGGCCGCGATATACGAAGTTCGTGTCGCGGGCTCTTGCAGGCATGGCTGTTAGACTGACTGCACATAGGGGTACTATACTGGCATTGATGCGCTATATCTAAATTTTCTCCGCAAGTACTGGGTTTCAAGACCTGTCCTTTTGCCAGCTTGTTGGCCTGATCACAAGCTTCCGAACAAGGTATAGTTTGTGCAGAACTTCTCAGGTTAAGGTACCGTTAGGCCGCGATATACGAAGTTCGTGTCGCGGGCGCTTGCAGGCATGGCTGTTAGACTGACTGCACATAGGGGTACTATACTGGCATTGATGCGCTATATCTAAATTTTCTCCGCAAGTACTGGGTTTCAAGACCTGTCCTTTTGCCAGCTTGTTGGCCTGATCACAAGCTTCCGAACAAGGTATAGTTTGTGCAGAACTTCCCAGGTTAAGGTACCGTTAGACCGCGATATACGAAGTTCGTGTCGCGGGCGCTTGCAGGCATGGCTGTTAGACTGACTGCACATAGGGGTACTATACTGGCATTGATGCGCTATATCTTGAATTTTCTCCGCAAGTACTCGGTTTCAAGACCTGTCCTTTTGCAAGCTTGTTGGCCTGATCACAAGCTTCCGAACAAGGTATAGTTTGTGCAGAACTTCCCAGGTTAAGGTACCGTTAGACCGCGATATACGAAGTTCGTGTCGCGGGCGCTTGCAGGCATGGCTGTTAGACTGACTGCACATAGGGGTACTACTGGCATTGATGCGCTATATCT